TCGACGCGCGCCACAAATTCCGCGACGGCGTCGCCGTGCTGCCGCAGGTCCGCCTTGAACGCGCCCGCGGCCTTCTCGCGCGCGAGGTAGACGGACACGACCGCGTACTCCGCCGCGGACACGAAGACGAGGACGAAGGAGACGATCATATAGTCGAGGAGCCAGCAGTGGTACGAGATCTCCGGCAGCGACGAGTAGATGCTGTTGATGAGCGTCCGCTCGACGAGCAGCGTCATGCTCAGCAGGCCGACGCGGCCGGGCACGACGTGGCGGTCCACGAAGAAGCCCATGTAGGTGAAGCCGAGGAAGATGAGGTCGGGGATGATCGCGTTCACCTACGAGCCGCGGCGCGGTCGACGGCGGCGCTTCGGGCGGAGGCCGCGCGATCCGCGCGTCTTCTCCAGGGCGCGGGCGCCGCGCGAAGTAGTAGTGCGAGTTCCGGCGGAAGGAGATCTCGCCGACGACGTTGTCCCAGTACTGGGTGTAGTTGCCGTGGCGGCTCGCCGCGACGGACGAGAAGTAGCCGGACGTCCACTTCCGGACGTGTCGGCCGGGCGACGCGAAGCCGTCGCGGCCGCCCTCGACGATCCACGTCGTGTGCTCGAGCTCCGACGCCGCGTCGAGGGAGATGCCCGAGTCCGGGTCGTCGGCCGCGCCGCCCTGGGCGAGGAGGCGCACCTCGCTCGACGGCTCCATGTAACTCTCGAAGTTGACGGCGCAGACGTGCGTGTCGTAGGGCAGCTGGCCGAAGTGCATGTCGCACGTCAGCTCGAGCGACAGCATGGCCCTACATCGCGAACGCGTCGCTCGGCAATTGTTGGCGGCGGGACGCGGGGCGCCGCGCGTGAAGATGAGTGTGCCGTCGGGGTAGAGGTAGAGGACGACGCCGTCGTAGTTTACTAACTCCATCTCGCCCATGTTGTTGATGACGACGCCCGGGTGCCAGATGTCGCCGTAGTGCTCCAGAATATCGATGCCCGTGTCGTAGCACCCCGCGCCGTCCCCGGCGTGGTATGCCAGCCGCGGGTCCCGCCATATGGTCCGCCAGTACCCGAGCACCGTGAACCGCCGCGACACGGTGTTCACGCTCTTGAAGGAGCTGATCGCGAGCCGCACCTGGACCTGCGCGCGCCGCGCGCGTCGAGGCGCGCCGCGCGCGCGGGGGGGCGCACCTCGTCGGGCGGCGGGTCGGGGTCGCTGTAGTTGGCCCGGCCGGGGCGCACGCCCTTGTCATAGACGGACGGGTCGGCGAGGGCCGCGAAGGCGTTCGACTTCGTCGGGCAGCTCTGCGCCGCCGCCGGAGACGATACTACGAGAAGCGCGAGGGCACAGCCCAGTGATGCCACCATTTCGGATCGATAGCCAACCAACGAAGAAACTCCCCGTCGAGGTTCATGATGACGCTGGTGAATCGTCGTTGATGCGCAAACGGCGTAATGCCCACACCAACCGTGTGATCCCGCTCACGACCCACGAACTGATAACGACAGCATCCAAACCGTGAAATCTCTCACCGTTCACGACGTATAAACACACACGATGTCCGCCATGCAGACCCCGCGCCCCGATCTGTCGAGCCCGAACCCCCTCGCGGCGGCCGTCACGTTCAACAGCGGCGCGTCGACGCGGCGGGCGCGCCGCAAGCGGCAGCTCTCGTTCCCGCCGTCCGGCGCGACGCCCTGCGCCGCGCTCGCGGCCGCGGAGGGCCCCTCGCCGGCCCTCGCCGTGACGACGACGTCGCGGCCGAAGAAGCGGCGGCGCCTCGTCAAGTTCGGCAAGGCGACGGTCGTCGGCCGCGCGACGAGTATGGACCGCGCGTGCACGCCGCCGGAGATCTTCGCCTGCGACGGCTGCGGGCGGACGCTCGAGTCGGGCCTGCGCGGCTTCGAGGTCTACGCGTCCTGCGCCGGCTGCGGCGACTACGACCTGTGCTTCGCGTGCTGCGACAACGGCGACGCCGCGCGGCGCGGCGACGAGCCGCCGGCCGCGGCGGCGCACGCCTGCGCGAAACCGCGCCTCGTCGTCGTCGACCGCAACCTCGACGTGCGGCCGGACCCCGCGCCCGCGGCGCTCTAGGCGCGGGCTCGGCGTAATTTTGCCACGTATCCCGCGGATGTTAAACGCCCGGTCGGCCGCCCGTCGCGTCACGCGCAGCCCGCGCCCGCCGCGCCGCCGGCGAGGACCTGGGTGATGGACACGTTCGCGTGGGCCTCGGCGAGCGCGCCGGCGCAGGCGACGTAGCACGCGCGGTCCGCGGTCGGCGGGTCGTCGGCGAAGGTCCGGCACCGGTCCCGCGCGTTCGCCGCGTCCGGCCCGAGGCGGCAGGGCCCCGGGTCCCGCGCGCAGGGCGCGGGGTCCGTCGGGTCGCAGGTCGCGAACTTGCGCGTCGCGGCCCAGTGCGCGGCGAGCCGCGCGTCGCGGTCGTCGGCGCCGTCGGGGAAGAAGGGCGCGAGGCACTCCAGGCCGTTCAGGCCGCCGGCCGGCGCGTCGGGCCAGCCTCCTAGAGACGCCGGGACGTCGAAGTCGACGAGCTCCTGGTGGAAGTAGCCGTTGTCGTTCGCGGACCGCGCGAGGACGACCGCGCGGCGGCCGAGGAGGCACGCAAAGGCCGCGAGGAGCGCGTCGTAGGCCGCCCAGGGCCGCAGCTTCCGGTCGTAGAAGGGCCCCGTGCCGCAGACGGCCGCGCACCAGTCCTCGGGCGCGCCGCGGCGGAGCGACGCCGCGTAGGCGGCCGGGTCCGACGCGCCGTCGTAGGCCGGCCGCGCGTCGCCGTCGCGGCCGCAGCGGCAGCCGTCGCCCCGGAGCAGCG